GATTGCTGAGGGTTTGCTGTCAGGATAACTTGGCCTCACCTTACCCCACTCTGGTTCCCCTCAGCTTGAGCTGGCCACCGCCAAGAGCGACATGAATCGGCACCTGCACGAATACATGGAGATGTGCAGCATGAAGCGAGGCTTGGACGTGCAGATGGAGACCTGCCGCCGGCTCATCAAAGGCTCCGCGGACAGGTGGATGGCCCTGACCACCCCCGGGGAGTCGGCAGTTGGGTCCTTGCGGGAAGTTTATGAGGCTGCAACTTACAAGTCTGGCCTGTCTCGTCTGCCCGGCGCACCTGTCTGGCAATCCATCCATGAATATTAGCCACCTACCTCCTGCACGTTAGATGACGTCTCTAATTCCACCTAACTCCCTGCACCCACTTACTCAACAGCTCCTTGTCCGAGGCCTGCTCTGGGCAAGACTGCGGGGATACAGGGATGAGCATAGCAGCCATAGCCCCTGCCCTAGAGAGCTTACACCCCCTTTCTGCCGAATTGGGGAGTGGAGAAGGTGGGCAGGACACTCCCCTCCACCCTGGCTGATGGGACCCCCATTTGCCCATCGGAAGCAATTTCACCTCCTTTCCCATCTTCCACACCGGGGCCAGGTGACCAGGCCCTTTTATTTGCTGGGGTGGCTGATACCCCAAGACTAAGACAGAGCCTCGCCCAACCGGCCTGGTTCGGTGGTTGAGCATTGCCCTATGAACCAGGAGGTCATAGTTCAATTCCTGGTCAGGGCACATGCCTGGGTTGCGGCTCGATCCTCAGTGTGGGACGTGCAGGAGGCAGCCAATCCATGATTCTCTCTCATCATTGGTGTTTCTTTCTTTCTCTGTCCCCCTTCCTCTCAGAAATCAATTTTATATATAATATATACAATATATAATATATATATATATAATATTAGTAGCTTGGCTATCTCCCCAATAAGGCTGTGTGTTCCTTTATTATATATATATATATATATATATATATATATATATATAATTTATATATATATAAAATTTATATATATATAACATAAAGGAACACACAGCCTTATTGGGGAGATAGCCAAGCTACTAATACTCTTGATCCATGGTCTCTGTTCCCACTGGGCTTTCGGTACCCGGAGCAACTAGAGGCTGGACAGGAGGCCCCCAGAGCTCCTGAGAGCTATGTTCGACTTGTGGGCTTAGGAGAGTCTATGGAAAGCAGAGCAGGGGCGGGGTCTCAGGGAAGGACCCCCTCGGAGGTCAGGTCTTCCAGGAGTGGTTGCTCAGCCCTTCCTACCCCTTAAATCCCTCCTCAGGGGTCCTCAGGCTGCCTCCCCTCCCTCACTGATCCCCGTTCTCTCCTCCTTCCAGGAATTCCCCATCCCCCAGCTCCGTGGCCAGCAGCGACTCAGGAAGCACAGATGAGATCCAGGACGAGTTTGAGCGGGAGACGGACGTGGAGCCCATGGTCAGCTGATGGCTGAGGCCCTCGCGCCTGGTGGTCTTGGTGACGGGGCCTCTGCCAGGAAGGCTCCTCGGAGTGGGACTCCGGTCCTCACCGCACGGACGTCCTCTGCCCTCCCTTCTCCGGAGGCGCCGAGGGACCGCTGCTTCCTTCCTCCCTTCCACTCACCATCCACCCGTGCCCCCCTCTCCATCCACCCACCCACCCACCCACGGAATGGTGCTCTCAATTTCTATTCTCCACGTTACCAATGCAGACTTCTGTCCAGATGATGCAGCGTGAACTGTGCCTTTTCCCTTAAGCTGAGCCACTTTGAGCTCCAAAGAATTCCTCCTAGCAGGTGTTGTTTTTATACAAAACTCTGAGGCGAGGTGTGGCAGACTGTGGTTTTCTGCCCTCCCACCTGCTCCTCTGATTGGCTATGACCTATGCCCTCCCATCCCCTGCCAGCCAGCACTGATGGAGTGGGGCTCGGGGTGGCCCACTTCCACCCAGGACGGAGCTGTTTGCCTCGGCGAACCTTCCACGCCCGGGTGGGACCTCCCCAGGTTTTATTTTCACGTACCAAAAGGGGGAAAGATGGAAGGAGGGAGGGAAGACAAATTCTTAGTTTCTTTTCGGACCGAGTGGCACAGCGGAGGGACAAGGCACTGTGGGGGAAGGTGGAGCCTCACTGTGTTTAAACTACTATGCAAAAAACAAAACAAAACAAACAAACAAACAAAAAAAGCAGCTTGCCTTATATACTGTGGAAGGGAGGCCCTCTCCCCGACTCAGGGTTTTCCCTTGGAGCTGGGAGGGAGGCCACCGCTGGGGCCATGTCTCTCGCAGCCTGTGAGGGGGTTCAGTCAAGGTCAGTCAAGAGGCCTGGGTCCTGCCACGCCCTTGACCACCTGACCGCTTGCTTTCTTGGGACCTCGGTGGGTTGTGGGGGAGGGGGTCTTTTATTGCCCTGATGATTTGATGCTTTCCCCTCTGTTTCCAGCCAAACTGTAAGGGGTGGGTGGGTCTGTCATTTCTCTGTGAGAAAGCCTGTGGCCACCCCTTCCCCAGTGGAGTCGGGTCAGGCCCGCCTGCTGCCATCTTGGTTCTCCACTGTGCCCAGTTGGGTCAGTGGCAGGCATTGGGAAGGGAGGAGGAGGGAGGCAATGAGGGCTGCTGGCAGGTTGGAGGTGGCAGGCCGCGCTCAGGAGAGAGCCATCCTTGTTTCACACTTGCCAGCTTCTTCCCATTCTTCACTGACTGACCCTGGGAGTTCACTGAGCCAGTCTCTCCCAGCGCCTGAGTGGGCCTGGCTGTGTGAGGCCACCTGCCAAGTCCCAGCTTGTAGCCAGCTGACCAGGCTTTGCTTTTTTTTAAGACTTTGGTCCCCATGCCTGTGGTGCAAGTTTTGTTTTTGTTGGCCCAGCAGCGCCCCCTGAAGGTCAAAGGAGCAGTTGAGCCCAAGGACCAGGACTCCTTACCTCTGGGGCCTATGACTAGCTGCACAAGAGGGGTTCTGGCTTCCAGTAGGTTGTGTCCCCAGGTGTTCCCCTCCCCACCCCCCGGGGTACCAACCACCATTAAGGGCCTTCTTTCTCTTCTGTTTCCCCTACCTGTTTTGCAGTCTTAAAACCTTTGTATATAATAGTCACATAATATATATATGTATATGGAGAGAGAACAAGCGAGTTATGACAGTGTGTTATTTTTATTTATCAGAACTTGACGGCCTTTAGGGTTTTTTTGTTTTTTTTTCTTTCTAATTTTCGTTGCTGTTGGGCGAGTCGTTCTGTTTCCCGAGGCGCTGTAGCCGGGAGGCTTCCGTGCCCAGCGTCTCCCATTGGCCAACAGGCCCGTGGCAGGTACGAGGGGGCGATGGCTTCGGAGGAGGCCGACCCTTGCTCTCAAGGTTACAGGGTTCACACATACCTGGCGATTATTGCTGTTGTTGTCGTTGTTTTAGTTTAGCTTTATTTTAACCAAAGGTTATCAGAGCCTGTCGGGCTCGGACCTCAGCTGCTAAAAAGACGTTCCGTTTCTTGGAGGGTAGGGAGATGGCCCTGCAGGCCGCCGTCCAGGGCTAAGGGAGGTGGTGCATGGTGTGGGCAGGCGGGCAGAGCAGGAGCCAGCCCTGGGCAGTTCCTTCAGGTGGTGGTGGGGAAAGATTGGGGGGGTGGGGGGACAGGCCTGAGAATGTTAGAAATATGACAGTAAGGCAACAGTGTATTTTGGGGGGTGACTAAGGTGATTGGTGTCCATGTATTATTTTTTCCTTCCCCCTTTGTAGACATTTGTCCCTGGGGACTAGAGGACCCTGAATTTGTCCAAGGACTATAGATATGGCAGGAGCCAGAGAGAGAGAGAGAGAGAGAGAGAGAGAGAGAGAGAGAGAGAGACAGAGACACTGGCTGAGAAGTTTCCTCCCTGCTGGGGAGCCAGGATTTGGGGCAGGTAGGCGGGGCGGGGACCCCAAGGATGTGGTCCACCTGCTTCCGGTGCAGGGTCCTGGGTCCTGGCCTGGCCGCTTCCCTCCCCACCCAGTTCTTCTCTGAGTTAGCTGCCAGTGGGCCTCACTTGTCCGCTCGCCACGAGCCCACAGCTTGCCAAGAAAGACCCCAACTGAGGCAGCGCTGGGTCCAGAGGGGACACGCTGGCCTGTCCTTTGTAAAGCTGTAAATACTTCTTTTTTTTTTTTTTTTTTTTTTTTTTTTTTGGTTTCTACTTCTAAGCCCGGTGTCATATTGACATTGGTATTTTAGGTGGTTCTCCGAGGGGCTCTCCTGGGCAGCCCTCTGTCACCCTCTTCTTTTGGGGGGTTTTATAAACAGAGAGGATTGGGCAAGGGCAGGATGAGGAATTCCTTTTGGTTCCTTGGTTGTGGAACACACACACCACACACACACACACACACACACACACGCACACGCACACGCACACGCACACGCACTCCTCTGAGAGTCCAAACAGGGGGAAAAATTCTTGGCAAGTGAACACGTTTTGTCTTCTTGTAGCAATATGTCTTGACGGACAGGTCTCTGAAGGGCCAGTCCATCTCGCACTTCGCTCTGTGGGTGCAAGCTCAGATGTTTTCGGGAGAACCAAGCCTCTTGGGCTGGGGATGAGGAAGAGGGCGTGGGGTAAGGGGATAATATAAGGTGTAACTTAAGCTAAATGTAATCTATTTATAAAGCAAGAGACTCGCGTCTATTTTTATGAAAGGAAGGGTTTGTAATCTAGGCTCCGCGGCTGTGGCGGTCCACCGTTTTCCTGTGGGCGTCGTGCATGTTGCTGATTCCATATAACCGGTCCCCCCCACCCCGTCTCCCTGTCCTCACCGCCTGCTCCCCGCACCCATGAGCCGGCTTTGGCAGCTCAGAGGCCCCACCTCGCCACGGTCCCCTGTTCTCTGATCCCGCAGCTCCTGGGTCCTTGGATGTCTTGGGGGGAGGGGAGGGAACTGGTGGGAGTGGGTGGGCAGTGGCGAGTTCAGCATGGAGGTGGGTGGGTGAGGGATGAGATGGGGCACGAGATAGGGGACACACTCTGCTTCCCAGGTGGGCTCCCACTAGTCATTTGAACTGTGTGAAGATCCACTTCCGAGTCCGCTGAATTTGGGAGAGTGTGGGTGGCATGGGCTGCTGGTTCTGGGACCACATGGCTTCCCTGGGGCCTGGCACCCTCCAGAGCTCTCGTGGGTCCCAGGTTGCTAGGCAGCTGGAGGGGGAGAGGAAAAACCATGAAATGTCCACGTCCTGGCTGTGCCCACTGCCCGGGCTGCTGCCCCAGGCCCTGGGTGAGGGGTTAGGGCTGACTTTCTCGGGGAGGGAGTCATCCGTGGGTGGAAGATTCACAGGCTCAGGGTGGGCCATGTGTTCGTTTGGAGCAAACCCCTCACCATTTCTGCTGCCAAGCCCTCAAAGGAATGAGGCAAAGGCACCCCTTACCCCCAAAACCCCCTCTGTGGGCATTTTAGCATCCACGTGGTTTTTAATCCCTTCCGGGAGACTTTCTGTCCTGCAGCCCCATCCCACCCCACGGTCGCTGTTTGTCTGCCAGCTGGGCCTAGCATCACGGGGAACGGGGGGGTTTATACTCATGAAAGACTACTGATCCTACTGGGAAACCAACCTGTTTACTGTACTGTTGTAAATATCATACCCTTTATATCCTGTATATTGGCTTCTTTTAAATAAAGTGAAATGTCTTAGAAACGATGGTGTGCTTTTTTCTTTTCTTTTTTTCTTTTTAACTGAGGATAAAATGGCAAGAGGACTGAGGGCCACATAAATACGAACGCAAACTAATTAGTGGTGACATAGGGGACTTTTCACATCTCCTGCCTCTCACAGTAAGATCTCTGTAAGCAGGGACAGCAGGATTTATTATACACATTTTACCAAAGTGAAGGTCACAGGCAGAGGAACCGAGGTCCTGCTAATCCCCAAATCCCCGTTTCGTAAACTTCCTCACAGTGCCCAAGAGAGGCCAGCTCCCAGACTCTGAATTTGACATTGTCCAGCGTTCCAGCTTTTTCTTGTTAATGACCAACTTCAGGAAAACACTGCTCTGTATGAACTGCCTCCGACCCCCGACTAGGGTTTTCTTCAAGGATCAAGAGAAACAGTCCCATCAATCCCAATCTACTTTCTGAGGTATCCAAGACTCACTTATTGTTTCTTTTTTCCAACTCCCAACTGTTTCTGTTCCCCGAGTGTGACCTTCTGAAGGAAGAATAGCATGGATGCTGAGGTCTTTCTAAGGTGGCCGTCATTACCCCCACTTTATAGACAAGGAAACTGAAGCCCAGGGAAGTTACAAATTTTGTCAATATCATAGGGAGGAACCACAATGAGAACGGGAACGGACTCCTTAGCAGGTGTGAATGTGAGAAACATTCCCATCAGTAAGGAGTTTTTTTGTGTGAGTTCATTTGAGCCAAACTGTCAATAATTGGCGGGAAGCAGAATCTCAGTGGGTGAGATAATGGCAGTCTTGCCATTTGTTTTATACATTACGACCCAAAGAGGAGACATAAATGGGTTACATGAAATCCATCGATGATAGATTAGGGAGGCTGGAGAAAGCAAAGCCAGGAAAGTGGGGGGACCTCTGGGATTGGATAAAAAGTAAAATGATAGACACATATTTAGCTGGGTGCAGGAACAATTAACATGATAATAATGAAGGAATTTGTGGTATCTGGTTGGCACACAACACATAAGGTGGTGCCCCAAAGGGTCCAAAAGAAGGGAAGTTACAAGTTACCCAGACATTTCAAGTGTATGTTATTATAGGTGCAAAGACACTTAGGCTCAGTTAAGGTAAAGGTTGACCTTGTCAGTGAAGATACCTAGGATGTAATTACCCACCATCACTGCTTTTAGTTAGTTTAGAGACCATCCTTTGTGGTTACTTTAGGTCTCCGAATTTGCAAGACTGCCATGCAGGCCTCCCCTGAGCTTGTCAGATTAGCATGTGGCCCCTTTCGTCCACATAGGGCTTTAGGAATACAATGGGTCCCTAAAATGCTGACATCAGAAAGGTTTAGAATCCACCTATGAACCAGGAAGTCACGTTTGGATCCCCAGTCAGGGCACATGCCCAGATTGTGTGCTTGATCATTAGTATGGGGCATGCAGGAGGCAGCCAATCAATGAGTCTCTCTCATCATTCATGTTTCTTTCTCTCCCTCTCCCTTTCTCTCTGAAATCAATAAAATATATTTAAGAAGAAAGAAAGGAAGGAGGAAAGGAAGACTCGTAATCCGAGTTTTAAATAACAGTCAAGCCTTCACCCAATTTCTCCAAGAGAAAACTAAACTTTTGATCCAGGGAGGGGAAAAATTAAAACTGCAGGAGCAACTGGTTCCACAGCCAGAGGCTTTGAAGGAAAAGCTGGGTGTAGACCAGCTCCGATGTTATCTTTTATTGACCTTAATCTTCAAAGAATTGCGCTGCTTTCTTTATCTAGGCGCCAGGCCCTGGGGAATCTGGTCCAGCTCCAGGCGAGAGGTAGGGGGTTCCTGGGTCCCGGTTAGGAAGCTGGAGGCAGGGGCGACAGGCTCATTCTCGGGCCTGCACCCCGCGGGGAGACCGATGGCCGCGGGGTGGCCTTGAGGGGAAGGACGGTGACCACCGGCCGGCGGAGGGCTGTCCCGGTGGTCAAGCTGGGATAGACGCTGCACCTGACCCCCGGACCTGCGGTCCTTACACACGGCCACGCACGTGTCCCATTCCCGCTCTCTCATTGGCTCTTTCAGCCCCCGGTCATAGGAGACTGAGACACAATCGCCCTCTGATTGGCCCAGGAGCTTCCATGTGTCATTCTGATTGGCCGGTGGGGCTCACGCCCTCTTCCTCGGGAGCATCCAAGGAAACTGGGTCGTACCATTAAGAGAGGAGGGGGGAAACGTGAATACCTCTAGACTTCCCTTTTGTATTACCAGACTCCTTGCCAACTAATGGCCTCTATCATGCACTAAAAGTTATTTTATTAACGTAGATAAATATATAGGTATTTCTCTTGACTTTGACTGGGAGGACAGCCGAGAGGCCACCCAGAATCCCCCTCTTTGTGAGGTGGTGCGCTCCAGGCGGGGCAGCGCAGTCAGGTTGCGACCCGGGTCGACTGTCCCGAGAACAGCGACACCGTGAGCCGGAGATGCTGCCGCCCGTGCTTCGGCGCGCCCTGCTGGCCCGCCCCTGGAGTGGGGCCAGGTGAGTGCCAGCCGGGCCCGGGGACCGACACCCCTGTCTCCTCCTACAGCGAGGAGGACCCCCTTCCCGAACTGCGGCCGGATTGGGGGGAGGGGGGTCCCGCTGCTCTTCCGGCTCCCGAGCTCCGAGAGGAGCCCCCTCCGCCCTCGGCTCGCTCCTCACATGGATCTTTCCAAGGTGCCCACTGCCCGAGTGCTGGCTTCCCCCCGGGCACTTCCGTCTTTAGTACAACACCCTCTCCTCCCCGCCCTGCGGCTCACCCTCAGGACCCACCTCCGGGATTCCCTGAGACTTCTATGTCTCTTCCTCTTTTTCAAGTTTAAGAGTTGGGTCGAGGGAGGGGGGGGGGGCAATGTTAAAATATGTACACAGATAATGATTTAATTAAAAAAAAAAAAAAAAAGAGTTGGGCCGAAAAGGGACTCCTTTCTTGTGACATGTGGGATAATGTGTGTGGGGTGCTAGGCATTTGGTGTACATGCTTCATTGTAAAGACTTGAAGGAGTTAGTTCATTGACGTGCATCCACCGGTGGCAGGCACCTAGGCAATGCCAAGGTATGGTCGCGATCCTCGTTATCCCTTTTATTTTAAACTCCTGTGCGGTAGGTATTGTTATTTCCCGTTACAGGGGAAGACTTGTAATTTCCGAGTGGGAGTGCAAACCCCCACGGTGTGGAGTTGGGTTCCTGGACCCTTGCTCACTCAGTGACAATGTCCCCAGAGCCCCCGCCTGCTGGGAAGTGGGTGGGGGAGGTAGGACACAGACCCTGCTCCAGAGGGGCCCGCAGTTGGGTGAGGCTGCCCCCGTATTGGACCTGTGTTCGGTGGGTCTGCCTTTCCGAGCTGGGCAGCCGCCGCCTCCTCCCCCCTTGAGTTTTGTTTGCCTGATCTCTAGGACTGTGACCAGCTCTGTCTCCTCTGCTGAGCTAGGCTCTTTCTGAGTTAATCAGTGTCCTGAGGGATGGCACAGGGGTGCCCTGGGCAGGGGTGAGTTTCAACATTGCAGTGTGTCCTCTGTGGCTGGGGATGGGGTAAGGAGGGCACAAGAAGAGGACGAGGGAGAGAAGGGTTCCTCTCGCAAGCCAAGGTGGGGTTCGTAGTTGCCACGCCCTGCCCTGCATTCTGAGACCACCCCTCAGACTGCACACGGAAGTCCCATAGAGGTGTGACCTCGTTTCTTGAACGTAATTTGTTTGGGAAGTCTGTTCGAGAAGCGATCTGTTCGAAAACTGAATACTTTTTCCCCAATTAGAAATAATGTAAATTGAATTTATCTATTCCAGAGCCCCAAATGATTTCCTGTTTTAACCTTTCTTTTATACAGTGCATGTCTAATGTACTATTTAATTTATAAATAAACACTACTTTACTTAAATTTATCCAACCACTCACTACTAGCCTTAAAGGAATCCTCCAAAATCCTGTCACCAGCTAACTGCTTTGACTTTATCCAGTCAAACAGCCAAGCTTGGTAATTTCGGTAATTGGTTCTGTTGTCAGTGGCCGGACTTTCTACAGCAAGCGTGTCAGACTCACAGCTGGTGGGCCGCTTGCCTAAATAAATGAGGCATGTGGCACGCTGGCCCTGGCTTTGACATGCGTGTTCTACAGCTTTTGTTTGTTTGTTAATCCTGACCTGAGGATATTTTTTCCCATTTATTTTTACTGTTTTTTTAGAGAAAATGAATGGGAGGGAGCGGGAGAGAGGAACATTGATTGGTTGCCTCTCACATGTGCCCCAGGGCTGGGGAAGGAACCTGCAACCCTTCAGTATGGGCCTAAGCTCTACCACTGAGCCACACTGGCCAGGGCTCTGCAGCTTTTTTCACGGGCAAGCCCATACTTAGAAGTGCACTAAGCCACCACCACCCCCCAGCCACGTGCATTTGTTTATTCGAGGTGACTGGTGAATGCACGGATTTATTTGGCCTATTTAGTCTAACTTTAAAATTATAATCCATATAGAAAACTTTTCTGTGAAAAATTTTAATTTTAATCTGCTTTATCGAGGTTTTACTGTTCATAATACATTTGTAGGGTGGATTCAATGAGATAATCACTCAGCAGGGTGCCAGGCATGTTGTTAGTGCTTCATAAATGCTCTTTGATGTTTCCGGGGCAATAAAGTACAATATCATCCCGCTGGAGGTGCCCCTCCCTCTTGGACCTGCTCTGAGCCCCACACAGTTCACTTGCACTGCCGGCCGCTTATCTCTGTGATAAGGAGGATTAACCTAATCAGGGCCCAGATAACAGCAGCGGAAGCCCGCGTGCTGAGTGAAGCTAGCGTAATCTCCCTTCTACTCTTCTTCTTGGCCTGGCCACCTGGGCCTCAGCCTCTGGGGAGCCCCTGGACCTGCACCAGCCCCCGGTGCCAGCAGTGCGCATGGCCTGGGGCCTGGTGTCCGCTCTGACATTGCTTGTGCATTATTTTCTTTCTTTCTTTCTTTCTTTTTTTCTTTCTTTCTTTCTTTCTTTCTTTCTTTCTTTCTTTCTTTCTTTCTTTCTTTTTTTTTTTTTTAAATAATCTTTATTGATTTCAGAAAGGAAGGGAGAGGGAAAGAGATGGAAACATCAACAATGAGAGAGAAACACTGATTGGCTGCCTCCTGTACATCTCCCTTGGGTAAGGTGACAAGATCGCCCCGCTTTTGGCGGGATAGTCCTGGTTTTTAATAATTTGTCCCACATCCCGCGGCGTTTTAAAAAAGTCCCGATCAGGATGCGGGACAAATTGTTAAAAATTGAGACTGTCCCGCCAAAAGCGGGACGATCTGGTCACCTTACCCTTGGGGATCAAGCCAGCAACCCAGGCATGTGCCCTTGACCGGAATCGAACCTGGGAGACCCTTCAGTCCGCAGGCCGATGTTCTATCCACTGAGCCAAACCAGCTAGGGTGCGTTAATTGTTTTCAGAGGTATTTCTCAGGTGCTAACCCCCGGCTGAGCCGTGTGTCCACTGGTGAATGGAATGGACACAGGCCGGCCCAGCGGAGCTTACGGCCTGGTGTGAGCGCCCTAATGAGGGTTGTCACGGGTGCTGTGAGGAAAGTGCGGGCTAATGAGGATCCGAGAGGGGTCGTCCAGTGGTTCGAGGCCGGCCGCATGGAGTGTCCCACGCAGAGGGGACCGCAAAATGAGCTGGGGGGTGATGGGGGCGATGGTCTGGAGGCATCAGCAGGGGGTCTGGCTTTTTCTTGTGGAAGAAGTGAAGGCCATGAGGAGTTTTGAGCCAAGTGCTTACTCGAGTGAAACCGGGGAGGGAACTGAGATTCCATCCAACCTCACCCTGCCTCGCACCCCCTCAGTTTTAAGGCTGCCTTGGCTGTCCAGCCTGGGTATCCCTCATTGCAGGAGGTGTTTTGATGTGGCTCTGAAAGCTCAGATTCCAGGACCTGCACAGAGTGGGGAGGGGGAGCTAAGGTCTCACACCCAAGCCGGAAGGTCCCCAGGTGAGCAGCGGGGGCACTTCAGGTCGCTAGGGAATCGGAGTCAAATTTGGACTCTGCCCTATGCCTCCTTCCTGAGGCCAGAAGGCCCAGAGCTGCCCTGAGAATGGTCGGGTTGGGTTCATGTTCATCCCAGACCCAGGGACCTGCTTGGTGGGTACTCGGGAAATATGTGGTGAAAAATGTGTAAGCCTTTTCGACCACACCTGAGTTATCTATCACTGAGCTCTTGAAATGTGGAATAAATGTGTGCTGGCTGCATGCATGCATGCATGAATGGATGAACAAATGATGCAGGCCTGTCTAGAAGGGGCTTGCAGAGCCTCGTAGAGGCCCTAAGTTTGTGAGTAATTCCTCCATGCCTCGCCCGGAGCCAATGGGAGGGTGTTTCTTTCGAATCCCTGAATTTTTGTTCTTGGCTCTATTCCACTTATGATGATCTTTGAACTAGTCTCTGTCCCCGGGGCTGTACCAGGGCCTGGACTTTCTAGGTTTAGAGAGAGCCCTTGGGGAGTGTGATCCTGAGGTCACAGTGGACCTTTGTCCTGGGGACAGTGGAGTGGGGTCTGCAGGATTTCTGTTCGGACACTGCCTGGCCGGGGACAAGGAAAGGAGAGCTGGTAACGCGACATTTTCAGCTTCTGCCCTGGCTGCAATGGGGTGCTGCTTATTCCAGCAGCATTCGGTGAGCACCTGGGCCAGCCCCTAGGGGTGTCTGGGAACCGATTTGCCTTTGAAAGCCTGGCATGGTGGAGTGAGCATCCTGGAAGGTCTTAGTTCCTTTAGAAACTCCTAAGAGCAGGAGGGTGAGGAAAGGCAAGCCATTTCGTTCTCACAGGGACCTGGTGTTACAGAATAGGAAAAGCTGGGAAAATCCCAGGAGGAGTGGGATAGGGAAACTGAGGCAGAGAGTTAAACAGCTGTTTGTGTCCACCTTGGAAATCCTATCTTCCCTAAACCAAGGACACTTAAGAGTAAATGATTTCACTTCTCCCCAGCCAGGGGGTATTAAGTGCCATTTGCCAATCACACCCAAATGAAGAGAATAAATCTCATTTGGGTACATCAGCATCAAGATGATGAATATTCTCTTGACCCACCTCTAAACATCCAGCCTTTAAAACCCCCGAAAATGGCCAAAACCGGTTTGGCTCAGTGGTAGAGCGTCGGCCTGCGGACTGAAAGGTCCCGGGTTCGATTTCGGTCAAGGGCATGTACATTGGCTGCGGGCACATCCCCAGTGGGGTATGTGCGGGAGGCGGCTGGTCGATGTTTCTCTCTCATCGACGTTTCTGGCTCTCCATCTCTCTCCCTTCCTCTCTGTAAAAAATCAATAAAATATATTAAAACCCCCGAAAATGAAGGTCCCAGTGCTCTCTCCCCCCAGGAGCATGCCTGTGCCACAACTGCCCTCCCCCCACCCGTCACCACCCCCCTTTCACCCACACCAACCCCACCCTTATCCCCTAACCTCTAAGGCACCAGCTCTCCCTGGGCTAACCCTCTGAACCTGTTTCCAGGGCCCCCTTCTCCCCCTTTTCTCTCTCCCCCAAAGAGCCAAAGCAGCCCAGCCCCGGCTCCCCTGCTGTTTCTTCTCTGCCCTTCCGGTTTCACTGCCCTCACGTGTGTTGGTGCTGCCTACATTGGTGGATAAATTCTTGCTTGCTTTGCTGCACGCTGTCTCTTGATTGAAATCTTGGCTCAAGAAGACAAGAAGCGAGGTTCCTCGTCTTGCCCAGTAACACTGGGGTGGGACCTAGGATGGACCCCTCTTTCAGATGTGGGATGTGTGCTGAGGTCTCCCAGCAGCCTTGGGCTTCGGTCTGGGATGTGTCTGCTCAGAACTTGTGCTATTCCCACCCACCAGGACCGGGGGTTTGCAGAGAGGTTGGGGTGGCCCCTGGCTCCAGCCCAGCACTTGCGACGGTGGGGGGAGGGGAGGCTTTCAAGGCTTAAAGAGAAGCTGGCCGCATCTGGTTTACTGATTGGTGGTGGCATCCTGCTCCTGAGGTCCCCGGCTAGACTCCGCCCCCTTTGCTGGTTTCTGCTGGCCTCCTGCCCCTCCCTCCCACTGTAATAGGAGGAAGGACCAGTGTGGGTTTTAATTTATTGAGCACCTCTATAGCTTAGCATTATTTCCTCAGGTCTCCATAGTCACCCCACAAGATGGGTGTCAGTGATCTGCCCAGTCACGCAGCTACTGGAAGGGAGAGGGCGGGGCCTGAGGCATGTGTCTGGGCCTGGTGGGTGTGGCCTGGGGTGAGGAAGGGGGAGAGAGGGAGAAGGTCCCTGGGATACCTGGCCCTTTGGGATTTTAGGCCTCTCGGCCCTGCCCCTCAGCCACACAGGCCCCTTTCTGCTCTCCCCTGGGCCCAGACCACTTTCCCAGCTCTTCTTACACCTCCTCCAGGTCCTGCTGAGCTCCACCCTTCCCCTTACTGACTCATTTCCAGGGCCCTTCTGTCATCAGAGGGTTTATTTCTGCCCGTGACCCCCACTTGGCAGGAGTCAGCTGCGTGCAGCCAGAGCCTTGCTGTGTCTCCAAAGTCCGGAACAGCGACCGGGATGCAGCCCGGGTTCAGTAACCTTGTAGGGGGAACGCAGGACCTCCCTCACAGCCCCTTTCTGTTCTCCTTCCTCCGGGCCTCCCAGCCCAGCTCTCAGCTCCCACCCACCCTCTTCCCAGAGAAAGGAAGAAGCCCCCAGCCCTCATAGGCGGGCCTTCCCGTCCTCCTGCTGGGCAACAGCCACCTCCCAGAACACCGGCTCAGACAAGGTCACTGAGGCACAACAATACTGTGTCATAGTTTTGTCTGAGCACAGACGGAAACAAGGTCACCATGCCACCCCCAGAGGACCAGACACCCCCCTCTTGCTACACGAGGGGCTGCTTCCCCCAGGTGTGCTCGCTCCCTCCTGCATCCAGCAGAACCCCACTTGTCCACCTGCAGGTGCTTTCCCATGGTCTCTGCTGGGGACGGTGACACCAGAGGGAGATGATTCCTGGGTTTTTCTGGATTCCAATCCAGGTCTCCTGCTCTTGATCTTGAACTAGTCATCTTCCTTTTAGGACCGAAGTTACCTTATTTTTATAACGAGGCCCTGATGAGAGCCATCGATTGGCCTACCCATGACGGATGGGAGGCCGTCTCCAGTCTAAGGAGCCCTGTGTGGGTTAGGTGCCTTTGTCATTGATGTCCCCATTTACAGATGAGGAAACTGAGACCTGGAGAAGTCCCACCGCTGAGGCTTCAGCTCTGGAATGACTGACTCCAAGGTCTTACCCACACATCCTCCCACCTCATCCCCCCACCCCCACCTTTACGGTGATGGCCATAGTGGTCACTGAGCAACGAGGTCACAGGTTCCAGACTGAATAGGGGCTCCAGAACAAGGAGTTCTTGAAACTCAGTGCCCAGGAACCAGACCCTGAACCCCCAAACCTGCCCTCCCTCTCTGTGAGCGGAGCTCAGGGCACTCTCCAAGTTCCCGCCTAGGCGGGTCTCGGGCTTTCCTGCTCGCCCTTGGCTCGCTCTGTGTGCTGGGGCTCAGCTCCGGGATGTCCTGCCTCCTCAGCTTAGAGGAGCGACTGGATCTGTTATGGGACCCAGTTTGCCTCGTGGGGAAACGCACTCCATGCATACACACTGAGATATGCTTTTGCACCTCTGGATTTCAACTCCAAACATGTGGGGTTGGCATGATTACTCTCACTTCTAGTGTGGAAACAGGCTCAGAGGAGACAGCTCACGAGCCCAAGGACACACAGCAGGACTGGGACTTGAACTTGGATTTTGCACCCCAAGGCCTGTCTCCCCCTGCCCCCTCCCCCCTAGTTCTATAGTTGCTCTGGATCTCAGGATTCCAGGCCAGCCCAGGCTCCCCTGTTGGAGACTGGTCTGTGGAGGTCTCTGCTGACCACCACCTCTCCATGCCCTTCATCCAGCTGACCTGCCACCTCTCCCTGCCCTTCATCCAGCTGACCTGCCACCTCTCCCTGTCCTTCATCCAGGCTTCGGTGGAAACACGCCTCCTCCCTGAAGGTGGCCAACGAGCCCATCTTGGCGTTCACCAAGGGCAGCCCCGAGCGAGAGGCACTACAGAAGGTAAGGTGCAGGGCATGGGAGATAGCCTCAGCAGCCCAGGATGCTCTCTAAGCTGAGCCATTCCCCCTCCTGCCCCTGCTCCCAGCCCCGGGTCTGGGGAGGCAGTGGGTCCAGAGCCTGAGAGAGGCAGGGAGCAGCCGGTGGCCTCGGTACCGGTCAGGAGTCATACGCTCACACACCTTACATGCTCTCCCATTAATTGCTGGCATTTTAAAACAGAATCTACCTGCATGTCAGGTGCAGTTTTTGAATCTTTTTAATGGGGAAACCTGTCCATACTGGCCTCACCTTCCTGCGTGACAGGAAGTGACCGAGGAGGGGCTGCATCCTGTCCCCCCAGGGAGTACACGCTCTCCGGCCACAGCCCCACCGGCCGCCTCCTTGGTTCTGGTTCTGCGTCGGGTTCTAGGTGGGAGAAGGGGAAGGAAGTGCCTGTCTGCCATCTTGTCCCCTCCTCAGGCCTTGAAGGACCTGAAGGGCCGGACGGAAGCCATCCCGTGCGTGGTGGGGGACGAGGAGGTGTGGACCTCGGACGTGCAGTACCAGGTGTCGGTGAGTCCAATGGGTGGGCAGGGCCAGGCCCCTCCCCGAACCTGGGGTCCTCGGACAGCACTGGGAGAGGGGAAGTCAGCTTACATGGCACCTCCCTCCTGGGCAGTGACTTCACTCTTCTCTCCTTTCAGCCCTTCAACCATGGACACAAGGTGGCCAAGTTTTGCTATGCAGACAAGGTGAGTCCCTGGCAACTTGGGGGTTGGGGTGCTGCCCCTCTCCTGTCCTCCTTGGTTTCAGACTTGGAGGTGGACATCAGACCCTGCTTTCCTCCGGCGCGGGGGGTGGGGTATAGATGGGACAGCTGGGAGTGGGAGTCCTGGATGGGTGCCTTTAAAGGGCCAGGCATGCCAGGGTTAACTTGAGCCTTGTGGGAGCTGCCTTGATCCGGGCTGGACATGCTCTTGCCATGGAGCAGACCCTGATGTGGGGCAGGTGGGGGCGGTGGATTCTGGAGAGCTGGGGCAGGGAGATTGGAGACATCATGGATGGTAAGCCGGACGCCATTGGTATCAGGGAGAGGGGCTGGGGTTACCTGTGGCTCGGGGTCTAGGAGCGAGCATCATGTGGCAGTGAGGCAGGTGGCATTGGGGGTGCCGGCAGCAGGTATACGTCTCAGGTTGTGGCTCTGACCTGGCCAGGATATGCCCAGGGCCCTGACCTTGAGGGCTGGTGGCTCTAGGAGATGGGTTCAGGGGCCCCAGCCCCAGGATTAAGGTGAGGCCCTGACGAGGCCACAGGAGAACGTGGTCTAACAGCTGAGGGGCTCAGTGCCAGGTGCTGGCATGCGGACCCCGCTGGCAGGTCAGACTTCTCCAGATTGGCAGCAGGTCAGGTTCCGCGCCTGGGGCGGCCTGTGGCAGTGGGACACAGTAGACACCGGGGAGGGGACGCTGAGGGCTCAGTGGGCAGGGCCTTCCTGGGGTGGAGTGTGACCTCCAGACCTTCCTCCCTCGCTCACCCCGGGGACCCTTCCGGCCACAGAAGAAGCCCCAGCCTTGTCCTCTTCCTAGGCCCTGCTCAACAAGGCCATTGAGGCCGCCCTGGCCGCCAGGAAGGAGTGGGACCTGAAGCCCGTCGCAGACCGGGCCCAGATCTTCCTGAAGGCGGCAGACATGCTGAGCGGGCCGCGCAGGGCAGAGGTCCTTGCCAAGACCATGGTGGGACAGGTGAGGTGCCTGCGGCACGGGGGGGGGGGGGGTTTGGAGTGGGAGGCAGTTGCACCCCGTTCGATTCGGCAGTCGTCAGCTGAGCAGTTCTGGGTGCATGGACCTGCTCTGCTGGCTGGAGACTCAGAGACTCGAGAGGTACGAGGCCTAGGAGAGGGGACACACAGAATGGCGGACAAGGTGGACTGTGCTGAACCTGCGTGACCGACCACGGAAAGGCCCTTCCCCTCCTCTGTCCGCACCCTGGCAGGCCTTTGCCGTGCTTTGCCTGAGTGACAGTCGCCCTGTACAGTCCTCTGGGCTCAGTGGGACCCTGCCCCCTCAGGTTTTCCCGACACCCCAGCAGGCTGCTCAGGCTTACACCCCACTGAGAGGCACACCCAGATCCTGAGCCCAGCCCCCAGGGCCCTGCATTCCCACCTCTCTCCAGCTCACCAGCTGCTGCCCTTCCCGCCAGGCCATCTGCCTGTGGTGATGCCAGTCCGGACCTGGTGACATTCCTGGGCACCATGGCGTCCCATATCCCCGCCTCTGCCTGGTGTCTCCTGTCTGAAGTGCTTGCTCTCTTCTGTGCCCCGTGAACTATTACCCATCAACGGCCGGCCCAGATATCACCTCCACTGTGAGGCTTCCAGAACCTTCTCTGTCCAAACGGCTCAGCCTGCCCCCTTGATGCTGTTCATTTGTCAGTTACATCCCAGTTCGCAGTGGGGTGGAATGACTTCCTATGTGTCTGTTGCCCCTTTACAAGCTTTTTTGGGGACAGTGATCACGTGTTCTCGTTAGTTCTCCCTCTTTCTGGGCCTTGCGTCATGTCTTCCCGGATAAAGGTTTTTTGAGTGAGTGCATTTGAGCCAGAGCGTGGCTGAGGAGGGAGAAAGCGTTAATTTCACCATCCCCAGGAAGGAGCCTTTAGGGGTTGGTCAGCCCAGCGCTCTTCCTGCAGTGAGAGCTCCCCCTGCTGCACAGATCGGTATGGCAGCTCCACACCCTGCCAAGTGTCCCGATTTTCTCAGTGGCCCCTGGGGTGGGTATCACGCTTCGAGTGTCCCAGGTGAGCCACACCCGGGCAGGAAGAGACACACAGAAAGTTGTAAGAAGCGCAGTGGCCGAGCAGAGCAGGGGGCAGTGTCTTCATTTCCTTGGCTCCATGTCCAGCAGGGCGAGCAGCTGCCAGTGACCCTGTGTGCCAAGGTGGGAAAGGCCCATTTTTGCTGCCCACAGTCCTTTCCCCGCGGCTCACATCCACCATCGGGAAGGACAGACGGTCTAAGGAAACGTTTGCAGTCCCAAGGCCTCCTGGTTTTAGCCCAGCTCGCCTAGCGAGGGCACGTATTTATCCTGCGGCAGGAGTCACTGTGGCACAGGGCCCCACATCAGGGCCAGTGGAGGCAGCACTGCTGACCCCCGGCCTTCCCGCCTCGCAGGGTAAGACGGTGATCCAAGCGGAGATCGACGCGGCAGCCGAGCTGATCGACTTCTTCCGATTCAACGCCAAGTTCGCCATGGAGCTGGAGGGGGAGCAGCCCATCAGCGTGGCGCCCAGCACCAACAGCATGGTGTACCGGGGGCTGGAGGTACCGCAGGGGCAGGGTGCGCGCACACGGGGACTGCTGGAAGCCTTGGCCTCACCACCTCCTCTGTCTCCAGGGCTTCGTGGCGGCCATCTCCCCTTTCAACTTCACTGCGATCGGCGGCAACCTGGCGGGGGCGCCGGCCTTGATGGTGAGATACGGGCCGCGGGCAGGGATGGCGGGAGCTCAGCACCATTCCCAACTCGAGCCCCTGAGGTCCCAGCCCCTGTCACGGCGAAGCACAGCGGGTGGAGTGCGTGTGGGGCCGTGGGAAGGCTTTGGGGTCAGAGGCTGGTTTGGGTCCCGGCTTGCCCTGCTCTGGGTGACCCCATTAAGACTCCACTCTGCTCTGAGGCGGTTTGCTCATCTGCAAAGTGGCAGCAATAGGAAAGCCTGTGTCCAGGGCTGTGAGGAGCGAATGAGACGGCCACCTGACACGCCGAACGCCTGGCAGGTCTGGCCCTGTGCAGGCCAGTCTGTGGTGACAGGTAGTGATGGTGATGATTAGCTCACCATTGAATGCTTGCTGGGTGTTGGTGACTTAATTGTCATGGTCGTATGGGTAGCTTTGTTTTTTAAGTCCTCACCCAAGAAAATTTTTTCCATTTTTTTTTTTTTGAGAGAGAGTAGAGGGGAGGGAGGAGAGAGAGAGAAACATCGATGTGAGTGAGATACATCTATTGTTTGCTTCTTGCACCCGCCCTGACCAGGGCCAGGGATTGAACCTGCAACCCTTTAGTCCACAGGCCAACACTCTAACCACTGAGCCAAACTCCACTTAGTTTTTTAAAAAGCGTTTTTATTGATTTTTAGAGAGAGAGAGAGGAAGGGAGAGGGATAGAGAAATAGAAATATCAATGAAACATTATCGATCGGCTGCCTCCTGCATGCCCCCCTCTGGGGATTGAGCCCGCAACCCAGGCATGTGCCCTGACTGGGAATCGAGCCGGTGACCTCTTGGTTCCTGGGTCAGAGCTCAACCACTGAGCCAAACTGGTCAGGGCTCCACTTAGTTGTAAAGAGTGAAGCTGACCATCGTCCTCATGAGCTTCCGTCCGATGGGCAGACGGGGCCCTTCCTTCGGAGGGCCTGGGTGTCTGGGAGTCGCAGCAAGAGGGCTGACAGTCATCGGGGGCCTGGGCCCAGGCAGGAAGGCTGGGTGATCCGGAGGATGCTCACGCACACGGCCATCCCCGTGCCTCTGCCCATAGACAGATGTGCCCACGCGCACATGCCCATGTGCTCTCACCGGGACACGTGCAGAGAGAGCCTTGTGCGCACTTGCTCAGCCACACCCGTGAGCACCCAGCAACTCAGAAACGCCCAGAACAGAGCTGCCCCAGGGTGCAGGCGGGACCAGCCCGTGCAGGCTTCTGGAGGAAGGGCGCCTGGGCTGGGGTGGGGTTGGCGAGGGCTGTTGGAGCACATGCCTGGCACCTGGCGGTGTGGGCGGGCAGGGGACATCCTGGCCTGCACAGGGGCCTGTGGTCCAGGGGAGGGATGACCCGGCTGCAGGGTGGGAGGAGTCAGGCTGGTGGCCCCAGCCTGTGTCATCCTTGTGCCTCCCGAGCAGGGCAACGTGGTCCTTTGGAAGCCCAGCGACACGGCCATGCTGGCCAGCTACGCCGTCTACCGCATCCTGAGGGAGGCCGGCCTGCCCCCCAACGTCATCCAGTTTGTGCCGGCTGACGGGCCCACCTTTGGGGACACTATTACCAGCTCCGAGCACCTGTGTGGCATCAACTTCACAGGCAGCGTGCCGTAAGTGCCTGAGTGGGGGGGGGGGGGGGGTGCTTCAGGGACATTCGCCTTTCACCTCTCCAGAGCTGGGCTGTGAGGAGCCGATGAGACGGGTACGTGACACGGTCTGCCGCTGTCCGTACTCACTTGCTGTGCTGCTGTAGGGGAGCCACTTCCCCTCTCTGGGCCTCCGTGTCATCACTGTCCCAGTGAGGGCGCTGCTTCTCTGCACACAAGTCTCTCTATCTGAGACAGGACAGCAGGGCCTGCACCGGGAGCGGAGGGGGGGGGGGGAGACCGTGGGAATGGAGAAAGCAGCAGGCAGATTCGATCGCCTATCTGTGGGGTCGGGGTGGCGGGTCAGCGGGAACCTCCAGGCTCGGGGCAGGAGGCATCGCTCACAAAGTAGCACCTGAAAGGCCCAGCATTGGAGGGTGAGGGCAAAGAGGAGTCACGTGTTGGTTACTTTGAGTTTGGGGTGCCTCCGGACCACCTGGCTAGAGATGTCAGGGTCAGCCCTGGGGTCCTCCGGCTGCCCGCCCCCCCTCCCTCCCGGGCTAGCCGGGTGGCACGGCAGCGTTAGAATTGCTGAGGAGGCCGTTTCCAGAGGCTGCTCTGCCGGCGCAGCCCCGCGGGGCCCTGCCTGTTAGCGGGCGGAGCAGGCTCGGCCCCCATTTGCCATGCTCTGATGAGCCGAGGCTTAAAGGTGGGAAAGTCATAAATTAGTATTAGCTACTGTGATGCCGGCTCCCTGGTGATTAGCATTTTTATTGTTTTGTGCCGCTGGGGTTGGTCACACTCGGAGCCCGGGGAGGAGGCGCCCGGGGAGGAGATGCCCAGAGAGGAGGCCGGGCCCACGCTTCCTCTCCCAGGATCCTCCTCAGTTTGGCCTCTGGAGCCTGGGTGCTGGGCAAGAGCGCCCCATGCAGATAGTGACAGTGTCCGTCCACAACTGGGCACGTGCGGTGTGCTGGCACTAAGTACTGGACTCATTAGAGTGAGTCACAGGACAGCCCTGCCGTGGGATTGTTGCCTCCAGTTCCCCATTCTCATCCAGAATAGATGAGAATTTGAGGCTCAGAGAGGATAAGTAATGAGTGAAAGGTCACACAGCCATGGGTGTCTTGAGTTAGAGCTTGAACCCAGTACTTCCTCCCCACTCCCTGGGCTTCTCTGCACCATCTTGCATCAAGGCTCTCCTTGCTGCCTCCCTGTAGCCTGGGATGCTCCCCATCTCTAGCTGCCACCACCTACTGGGTCCCTGCTCGCCTCCCAGGTTGCTGACCCTGGCGTTCGTTCCTCACTTGGCTTTTCAGCCCCACCCATCTCGACATTCACCCTCAGATACCCGAGCTGGCTCCCTAACCCCCACTTTGTCTTCTGACTTCAGCACCTTTAAAAACCTGTGGAAGCAGGTAGCCCAGAACCTGGACCGCTATCGCACCTTCCCACGCCTGGCTGGAGGTAAGGGCCCCTCCCCCTCCCCCCTCCCCCATGGCTCCAGGGAGCCTTCCTCTCCTGGCCATCATGAAAGAGGAGGAAAGATGCAGCCTTAGGTGGGGTAGTGCTGCAGGAAGAACCCTGGGGAACTATAGGTGCGGAACCTCTGCTCTGGCAGGCATGGGGGTGTGCAGAGCACCTGTGCCTCAGGATGCATTTTTCATTCATTCATTCATTCATTCATTCATGCCTCAGTCATTCAGCAGTTTAAGTGCCATGAATAGGGAAGGAGCTCTGGCAGCTGACATGAGTGGGTCCCTCTCCTCTTGTGGGGGGGAGGGGGGAGTTAGGGGAAAGCTTAAAGAAAGCTGTGCCACTTCTGGGAGGGGAGTGGGGCCTAGGATCCTGCTATCATTGTGTTGGGCAGCACCCTGGCCCTGGCCTCAGTTACTTCATCTGTATAATGGGGGAGTTGGTCCTGATGACCCCTGATGCCCTTCACCCTTGGGCGTCAGTTTTTTCATCCCCAGAGTGGGAAGATAGGCCTGGCTCATCGGTGTCTGGGATGCTGTCCGCTCTCACCCTGTGCCTCTCCTGCTCTCATCCTGGTGTGAGGGGCTGATCACAGGGCCCCGTGGACAGGTGTAGGCAGTGTGGTGGGCCCTGAGCTGGCCGGAGGAGCCCGCTCCTTCATTCGTTCCCCGCCCTGGCCCCTGTAGAGTGCGGTGGGAAGAACTTTCACTTCGTGCACCGCTCGGCGGACGTGGACAGCGTGGTGAGCGGGACCCTGCGCTCGGCCTTCGAGTACAGCGGCCAGAAGTGCTCAGCCTGCTCCCGCCTCTACGTGCCGCACTCGCTGTGGCCTCAGATCAAAAAGCGGCTGCTGGAGGAGCACAGCAGGATCAAAGTGGGCGACGTGAGTGCTGCCTCCGTCCCTGCCTCGGCCCAGCGGGGGGCTGATGGGATTGGAGGTCCCGTGGGTGGGCTGGGTGTGCGGGAGGGGCCTGCCTTTGTCCGGTTCTGTGGCAGCTCAGTCTCCTGTGGTGTCTCCCCTGCCTGCAGCCTGCAGAAGATTTCGGGACCTTCTTCTCCGCAGTGATCGATGCCAAGGTACGGGCTGGAATCCAGTTGCTCCAGGGGGGCTGAGCCTGGACTGGGTGGAAGAGGGAGGAAGGGAGATAAGGGGCCTAAATGGGGGACCGCCCCGCCCCACTGCTTCCGGGAAGGCAGCCAGATTGCCACCCTGCCTCCAGCTTGGTGAAGGGCAGAATCCTCCCACCAGAGAACTCGTCTCCTGCACACCCTGCAGCCACGCTCAAAGCCCCTTTAAGTGCATGTTCATACACAGAGATGCAATTAGGCCTACACACCTGTGTGCATAAACCTAAGTGGGCACGCATGAACATGTTCATGTGCAGGCATGCATGTCTGCTTTCCACAGAAATGCATACACATTCATACATGCATATCTCCATACATGAACAAATCCACCCATATGTGTGCATGCAAAGATATTCATATTGAAAGGCAGCCCGGCTCTTTGTTAAAGTGCAAAGAATATCTTTGTGTTTAGAGGCACATGTGTAGGTCTTCGTGGATAAACATGTGCATGTTACAGGCATACATATAAGGGTGGGCAAAAGTAGGTTTATAGTTGTAACGTAAGTAATACAATAATTAATCGATAATACAAGAATAAACTGTGATTCATGTACTCATAATTGTAAACCTACTACTGCCCATTGTGTATATTTATGTGCTTTAACAAAGCAACATGGCCATTCATATGCCCGAATACATGTATGCCATGTGTGTTTGGTTATATTTATATGTGAATATATACCTGTAGTTCTAACACACGCAAGCATTCATGTCTGCCCTTGTCTCCGCCATGGCTCATCCAGATACTCAGGGCCCTCCCCTCGCCCTTTCAGAATTCAGGTCCTTCTGGAACAGGTGTATGGGGTGAATATATTGCAGGGCTGCTGCTGGGAATGGTCCCCTAGCCGGTCTCTGACACCCTTCCTCCCTGCCCCCTGCAGTCCTTCGGTCGCATCAAGAAGTGGCTGGAGCACGCCCGCTCCTCGCCCAGCCTCACCGTCCTGGCAGGCGGCAAGTGTGACGACTCTGTGGGCTACTTCGTGGAGCCCTGCATTGTGGAGAGCAAGGACCCTCAGGAGGCCATCATGAAGGAGGTGACTGGGCCGGGTGGCTGGGAGCACCAGAGGACAGTGCACACACCGGCCCTTGTCCGTGGTCTTCTCGGGGCATAACCCAATTACAGTGAGGAAAGAAGGCCCTAGACAGCAAATATCACACCCAGTGAGAGCAGAGCCAGGCCTTGAGCTCAGGCCTCCTGACCCAAACCCAGTGCTGGTCTGACAGCCTGGCCATTGTTGTAGCACTCCCATTGCCCACGCCCCACATCAATCTTCTCATCTGACACTGGCTCTTGATTGAAGTGAGGGCTGTATTATCAGTCCCATTTTACAGATGAGAAACTGAGGCCCCGAGAGATCAAGACACCTGGTGGCAGCAGGGACAGTATATTGTTGGGCAGTTCTTGGACCAGCTGTTGCCAGAAGCCTACCGTTTCCATGGGCTTGGGCCTGTGCCTCTGCGGGTGTGGGTTTGGCTGGCAGGGGCCCAGAAGTGTCCTTGGACCTTTTGCCATGGTGGCATGGATGACAGGGAAGGATCTGGGCACGGTTCTGTCTTGGAGGGAATCCAGAGGGACACTGCGTAGGCCTGGCCCTTCTCGCAGGAGCCTGGGGACCGGGACTGGGAAGAGAGGCAGAGGCCAGAGCAGGCTGGGAAGCCTCAGGGCACTGGTCCAGGCTTACACTGACCTTGGACTTCTCTCCCTTCTCTCCCAGGAGATTTTCGGGCCCGTGCTGACCGTGTATGTCTACCCAGATGACAAGTACAGGGAGACACTGCAGCTGGTGGACAGCACTACCAGCTATGGCCTCACGGGGGCAGTGTTCGCCCAGGATAAGTGAGTGGCCACAGCCCCTCTGCTCTCAGTCTGGTGTCCTGCCCACACCCTGGACACTGCCCTCCTGGATATGGGTCATAGTAATAATCCCGCCCCTTGCTTTCTGTCCACTCCCCTCACCTCAGCCCTAGCTGGCAGGCAGGCCTCCCAAGCGCAGGGACCCAGAGGCAGCCTGGTCTTTGTTACAGTGCCGGTTCTGGGCCCTACTATTGAATTTGGATCTAGGATGGGCCTGGGAATGGGAGCTTTTGCCCAGCTCCCCGACTCTGAGGGGCCCCGCTACTTGAGGTCATCGTCTCAGCTGCAGAGGGACACGCGCTCAGGCCAGGGTGCACTGCTCATCCTTCAGAGGCAGGATTTGAACTGGTGCCATGGTATTCATCCTGAGGCTTTGCTTTTTCCCGCCTCCATGGCTCCCCTTGCCTGCCTCTAGAGGGAGGGGATGGAGGTGGGAGTGGAACCTGAGGGGCAGGCTAGGAGCTTGGGGGTTCCCCAGTTCCCGAGATCCAGGATGGGCCACTCCCTTGAGTGTGTGCTCCCTGACCCACACCCTCAGTCCTTGCAGGAGCCACTCAGGGCCCTGAAACCCCCTTTTCAGAGGGGAAGCTGAGGCTCAGACCCTGAGTCACATGCCCAAGGGCCCACAGCTGGCGGCTGGCCCAGAACTGCCCCAGGCTGGGCCTAGTGCTCACCGGGATAGCCAGCCTGGGCTGGGCGTGAAGGCTGGGCCTGGGCTGGAGCGGTGGGTGAGCCGGCTGCCCTGCCTTGCAGGGACGTTGTCCGGGAGGCCACCGAGATGCTGAGGAACGCTGCCGGCAACTTCTACATCAACGACAAGTCCACTGGCTCGGTGGTGGGCCAGCAGCCCTTTGGGGGAGCCAGAGCCTCCGGTGAGTGGGTCCCCTTTTCCAGAGAGGAGCCACGTTTCTATGGGAGACTTGAGAGCCTTCATTCAAGGGTGTTAGAGTAATAAGAACAGCACTGTACTCACCCCGAGTCCTTTCAGCAACCTCGTGAGCCAGCGTGCTAAATTCTCCCCATTTTACAGAGGAGGAAACTGAGGCACGGGTGGTGAAGTGACTCGCTCAAGGGCACATGGCCAGGAAGTGGTGGAGCTGGCATTGGACCCAGCTCCCGCAGCCTGTACCACCATGGTCCAGGTCACTTTGGTCCAACTCTCTCCTACTTAAGAGTGGGGAAACTGAGGCTCTGATTGGGCTGGTGACTTGCTAAGATCCCAGCTGCCTAGTGGCAGAGCTGGTGCTCTCCACAGTTCCCCCCTGCCCCTCCCCTGCCTCCGAGGCACCTGGGCAGGTGGGGCACATGGACCCCCGGAGTGTCTTAACTCACAGTTCTGGCCCCACCCAGCCTCCTGCTAAGGGTGCTCCTTGCTGGTGCGCTTAGGGAACTGGCCCTGTGAGCACATTGTTTGAGTTTAAGTGCCGGTGCCCATTCATCCCGTCAGCTCCTCCCCACGCCTTGCCCTCCTGCCCAGAGCTGTTGTGTCTCTTTCCCACAGGAACCAATGACAAGCCCGGGGGGCCCCACTACATCCTGCGGTGGACGTCGCCCCAGGTCATCAAGGAGACCCACAAGCCTCTGGGGGACTGGCGCTACTCGTACATGCAGTGAGCCCGCTCGGCGCCTGTCTGTCCGTCCGGGCGACTGACATCGGTGCGCTGGCCCACCCAGCCCCCCACCTGCCCATTTCCTGGCCTGTCCCACATCTCGGGGTCAGGCACCCAGCCCTGGTTTGATCCTGCTGGGAAGGGACAGGAGAACTGCTGCTCATCCCATCGGCCCTCCTAGGAAGGACATCTCAGAGGCTGACCTTGGTGCCGACTGGATCGCCATCTTTTCTCTTTCTGCTGCACTGTGGCCCAGTGGAACGTCTGGCCCAAGGGCTATTATAAGGTCCACAAATCATTTGGTCTGGCCCTGCCAAGGCATTAGGAGGGAGTTAATTAAATGTTTGACCAATGATAGCAGGCTAGTTATTAAGTTGATAATTTTGTTATGGCCCACGAATGATGTGATAAATGTCCACATGGCCCTGGGCAGAGAAAAGGTTCCCAATCCCTGGTTTAGGGACTTGGGGAATGACAGCGGGGCAGCTCCTGATCCCTTGTGGGAAAGGAGGCAGGTCTGGGCCCCTTGGCAACCTCAATACCCACAGGGACTCCTGGCCTTGTCCCTGGCCTCTCCAGGGCTGCAGGAGTGGGTGTACCAGGATGGTCTGCCGACCTTGCCCTCTCAGTCTGGGTCATCCTCCTTTCACACTAGCTCTTTGCCCAGCCACACGAGCCAGTGGGTGCCTGAGTCTGACCTTAAGCCTTAGCTGCCCCTGTGCCTTTCTCCAGGGCTCCTGCACGCCCATGTGACTCCTGGCAGTCTCCATGTGGTGAGGCTGGGGGCCGTGGAGGCCGCCTGCCAAAATGTGGGGCAGGCTGGGCCTTCCTGTTGGGGCTGGGATTTTGGAAACTGGACGGGCCCCGCCTCCAGGACAGCTGCCCTCAGCTGCTTCCCACTGGCTGTGGGTGCACAGGCCCAGGTAACTGTTGCTCCCACTGTCCCAGCCCCCTGAGGCCTACCCTGGGTCCCTGCCCTGCCAGGACCTGGGATTGCCCGTAGAATCTTCTTTGCATGCGAGTGGCTCTGCATGGACCGGTCCTTGGGGGGCCTGTTCTTTGTGTGATGCAGCCCATGGTGGACTCACAACCAGGTTGGGTTCTGAGCGGCCAGGGATTTGGGAGAGCAGTTTTAATGGAGCCGTAAAGTGCTGGGCCCTCCTCAGGACAGCTGCCAGGGGCTCCCCACAGGGCAGGGTGGCCATTAGCCAAGTGCCATGACCTCACCCTGGGCGAGCGGTCCGGGGCGAGTGCTGATGCCGCCTGGCATGGTGCGGGTTCTACACTGTTTCCCACAAGGCACCAGGTCAGGAGGCTGGTGGGTGGGGTGGAGATGTTCCTGGTTTTGCTGACTCTACATTGTGAGGCGCCATGGGACTTGCCCTGACATCACCCAATAAAACACCTGTTACTTCATCAAATCGGTCTTTCCGGTGGGGGTAGGGGGGGACAGCTTCTAAGTCTGATGCATTGGCAATGTGTCATTAAGTGTCAGGAGCGCAGTGGAAGGAAGGGCAGGCACTGATGTATGGCAAAACCGCCTGCGGTGGTGGAAGCTCTGGAGCCAGATGGGCTGGGTTCAAATCCCAGCTCCAAAAAGCTGTGCCACCTCTCTGACCTTCTGTCTCTTCATCTATAAGATGGAAACAGTAATAGATGTATACCCACACAGAGGTGGTCATGAGAATTAAATGAGTTACCGATGTAAGTGTTTAGAACAATGCCGGACACAGAATTCATGATTCGCCAATGTTACCCATTTACCATTGTTGTAACAACCACTGTTATGTGCTATGATGCGTTTACATGCCTGGACATTTTAGTTAAATGTCATTCTAGATGTTTCTGTGAAGGTGTTCAGTGGACTGAGTAAAGCAGATTACCCTCCATCATGGGGGTGGGCCTCATCCAATCAGTTGAAGGCCTTAAGAGAAAAAAGACCGACCTGCCTTGAACAAGAAGAAATTCTGCCAGGAGACTGCCTGTGGACTCAATCACAACTCCTCCTGGTCTCCGGGCTGCCAGCCTGCTGGCAGGATTTGGATTTCCTGACCCCACAATCTGTGAGCCAGTTCCTTACAATAAACCGGTGCCTCTCTGTGCCTCCGTTCGGTCCTGTTTATTTGGAGAACCCGAGAAGAACATGCTGGACTTTGTTTCTCCCGCGCGCCTGAGGAAGCAGGTGCTGCCGTGCCGCGTTCTGCAGACAGGACAGTGCAGGAAGGTGAGGGGATTGCCCTGGGCGAAGCATCACCGGAGCAGAAGCACAGGCCTGTCCAGTTCCGGAACCCACTGTTCCACCCAGATGTCCACATGGCACTGACTGCCTTGCAAAGACCCACTCAGCTGCCAAATGCCATGAGGGGTGGCCACTCAGCTTGAGCCCAGTTTCTGGGTCCAAGCCCACCTGGGCTAGGTGACTTGGAGGGGGACACGTGTGTCCTGGCCTGTCCCCACCCACAGAGAATGCATAGGGGCTGCTCCTGAGCCACACTGACACTCCTGTCCCAGATCCAGCAATCTGGGCGGCTGGCATGGAGGATCTCAGAACTCTGGGAGGCGATGGAGACTACCCTTGGCAGAGCCCCCACCCTGCTCTTCCAGGGGCTACCCCTGATTCATGCAAGAGGGGGCTTGACTCGGACAAAGGGTAGTACTCAGTGCCCAGGCTGGAGCTTATGGAAGTTAAGGATGGCAGCTGCACTTGATAGTCCTTACTAATGTTTTTGCATGAATGGAGTGACTTGCTTACAGTCACACTGAGACAGCAGAGTTGGCTGACCACTGGCTACTAGTAAGTACATTAGCTACCTAGTTTTATGGAGCCTTGACATTGGCCTTACTAGGTAAGGCACATCGGAGTGTGATAGTTACTTCAGTCAATCATCTGTGCCTCAGTCTCCTCAGTCTCCTCAACTGTGAAATGGGAGCCATAGAATGCACCTTGATGGCTACCATGAGTATCTGAGGATGTGACGTCTAAAGCCTTGAGCTCAGTGCCCTAGCTGGTTTGCTCAGTGACTAGAGCATTGGCCTGTGGACTGAAGGGTCACAGGTTCAATTCCAGTTAATGGCATGTACCTTCATTGCAGGCTCAATTCCTGGCCCTGGTTGGGGCACATGTGGGAGGTAACCAATGAATGTGTCTTTCGCACATTGATGTTTCTCTCTGTTTTTCCCTCTCCCACTCCCACTCCTTTTTAAAAAAAATCAATGGAAAAATATCCTTGGGTAAGGATTAACAACAACAATAACAACAAAAAGTGTGCTGCCGAAACCGGTTTGGCTCAGTGGTAGAGCATCGGTCTGCGGACTGAAAGGTCCCAGGTTCGATTCCGGTCAAGGGCATGTACATTGGTTGCGGGTACATCCCCGGTAGGGAGTGTGCAAGAGGCAGCTGGTTGATGTTTCTCTCTCATCGACTTTCTAGCTCTCTATCCCGCTCTCCTCCTCTCTGTAAAAAATCTAAATATATTAAAAAAAAAAAAAAAGTGTGCTAATCTTGGTGCACGGAAGCAATGGATAGGGCTTAAGGCAAAAATAAAGCCTTGGGCACCATGCCGGGCCCCTAGGCTGCGCTCAGGGACCGGTGGATCTATTTCCTACACTGGTCTCCAGACAGACCACACAGGAACCGATGGACGGGTGGTGGGGAATGAATGGAAATGGCGTGCCTCAGTGAAGAGGGTGGGTCTGCACCCTAGTGCTTCCCATGGACCCCCGGGAGCTCCGAGTCAGCCTGTCGGCCAGGAGCCGGCACAGGTGACCTTCATTTCCTTAGAGATCATGCCTGACTGGCCGTCTCTGAAACAGCGATGGCGCGGACGTCCGGCCTCAGTCAAATGGTTCACGCTCCACGTCCGGACCTGCAGCCGGGCCCAGTCACAGAGGGAAATGAAGAGACTCCTGGGCCAGCACGGACACGGGGACTTACTGTGGCGGCCATGCAAAGAGGCCCTGGGCACCTGGTCGGGTACTGGGCTCTCAGGAGCCACCAGCCCCCTGGTCTCGGGGACGACGGAAGGCAGAGGAAATGGAGCGAGCTGTGGCTTGGAGCCACCGCCTGCCCTAGCTAAATGAAGACACCAGGTGGGGAGGTGCCAGGTGGGGAGGGCAGGCTGACATGGCAGTGGTGGAGGAGCAGCTGGAAGCCGGGGACCTGGTGCAGCAGGTGTAAGGAGCATGAGCTGTGAAGTTCACAGTCCAGGGTACACTCCCCGCCCTCCTACTAACTAGCAGGATGACCTTGAGCTGGTCGGTCCACCTCTGGCCTCCATTAGGCCTTCCATAGACGACGTTAGGCTCCTGAGCCTTGGTGTCCTCATCTGTACAATGGGGACAAAATCCTTCCCACAGCTGTGCTGAGCAGACGTAATGATGTTTGAAAGCATCGCAGGTGGCTCCACGCAGGTGGCTTCCCTTCTCTTTGGCTCTTCTTGAGCTTGTGGTCACTTTGGAACCTCCAGATCCTTTTCTGGTTGAGACACAGCCTGCTGGAGGTCACCCAGCCAAGCGTGGTGAGGAGGCATAAGTGGGTCTCTGGGTTCAAGTGGAGTTTCTCCCACAGGCCTCAGCTGACCCTTAGATCCCCAACCTCTATCCTCTCACAGGCTGGGCCCCCTGAGAAGTGGCTCTGAGGCCTCCCTGGTAACCCTCCTTCGAAGTGTCTGAACCAAGTCAGCTGGCCGAGGGGGCCCATCTCCCAGACTTTCTTTGGGGAGGTCTTCCCTACCACACCCTAGACCGGCTGCCTGGCTTTGTCCTGGATGAGGGAGCATGCAGCCCCCAAGGCCCTGGGGTCAGGCCCCTCTTGGGGGTTCCTCAAAAGGCAATGGGCAGCTTTTCCAGGGCCCCCCCCATTTCCATAGCTGCCCCCACCCCACGTACTTAGCATACATTTGTCATGGCTCTCTGTCACCTTGGCAACCATGGCCACACAGGTGTGAGCACAGGGACCTCAGGCCCTGGACCGGGCCACCAGGGCATGTGCTGTGTGTGCAGCCC